CAGTGTATATATGATTTCTAGAGTAAAACCTAGATACCTACCTATTTCTTACCTATACCTATAATTATTCAAGTACCTGCCGTAAATTACTTAAATTAAAGCAAATATGGAAGGCGCATCATGATCATAGATAAAATGCAGTATCTAGGTAGGTACTTAATATTTTATTAAAAAGTTCCTTCCTGTAAATTAAATGTCTACTTAAATAGATAAGTTATATTTATCTACTCTTATTATCAGTACGGGAATAATTAATAGAACTCTATATTTAGATGTCAATAACATTAAGGTTTAAGCTTGTATAGACAAATCAGTCCGCCATGTCACTGGGTGGGGCGGAGCTAATAATGTAATCGTTAAGAACTGCAATGTTTCAGTTAACACATCATATAAGAATTAAAATAAACGTTAGCATGTAAACATAAGAATGTTTTTCGAATGAGCAATATTGACGTATACGACGTTTTGTCCCGATCGATTTTTGAAGAAGTGGCCAATCAGCACTCGGTTGCCATAGCTACGAGTAATTCAGTCAAGCGTCGATAGATGGCATCACTTGTGTAAACGTAACCTCACTTAATTAATAAGTACAAGCTTATTTAAATAAAAAGAAAATATCCTGTATTTTATTTATATATATGTGTGTGTGTTTTACTTATTATAGGTAGGTATTACATGTAAGAGCATTGTAATTTGTAACCTCTTGGTTTACTATTTCAACGTGGACCCAGAGATTGGAGTTGAATTGGTTTCTTTATAAATTTGTTAATTTACCTACTTATGTGAATGACTAGTTCTCCGGGGACGAAAACACAAATAAATAACTAAATTAATCCTAAATAGATGTAGTGACACAAGCGATTATACAAATGGGATAATAAGATTCTTAAATTAGGCATATCGAACCTATGGAATTAACCCAACTATGAATTTACAGAAAATAGGTAGGTTTCGAAGTTAGCAAATGTCTAATAAGGTACTTAAGTGTATAAAGAGTTTGAACGAAATACATATACTTATTACAAGTAAGATGCCTACCTAAATGTAATTGAATAGTGATGAACTCATTGCATAGTAGGTACCTAATTTGAACTGTCATGTCTCCAAAATAACAGTAGGTACTTAAAACGAGTCTATAAATTAAGTTATAAAGAATTTATAATTAAAACTGCTCCACCTAAATACTCCAAGATGTTCGATTGTATAATAAACCATTTGGATATCTACCTACCTACCCACTGTATGTATCGTCTAACAAACTACGTTTGTGAAATGGGGGAAACCTAATCCTTAGTAAGCCATTATTTCGAAGATTCAACCATCACTCATAACTACACCAATAAAATATAAAATAAACTTTAAAATTACTGCATTAAACTTCACTTTTCAATGCAAGACAGACAGTTTTCCTCCTTCAGAAAATTAAGTGGCTATCAACTTTATGCAGTTATGTTACGGTTTACTTTAGTTTGGAAATGAGTTTTGAATTTGGAAATGAAATTTTCATAAATGTCGTGGGGGTAAAGTACGGGGGTGCGTACAGGGGGGGAGGGGTTGAGGGTTGTATTTGTGTTTTCCCTCGTTTCCGAGGGTAGGCGCACACTTGAGTCGTGCGTAGCGGACGAAAAAATAGACATAATATTGAGGTTAAATAAAAATTTTACTACAGTAGGTAGGTTCATACCCCTACTAATCTATTAAATACCTATGAAATATAACTAACTCAGATATTATGCAGTCTTTTATCCCCTAACATAGATATAGTATAGTATATAGTAGATATATATGTATATACCCACCTATTGGTATTCTAAATTTATTTATAATAGATATATAGATATATCTATAGGTATTTTATTTCAAAATTTAAAGATTATATATGATTATATTTAATATGATACCAATAAAGGTCCTAATGATGATAAAAATAATGTTGATAAGAAAATAGTAACCATTGCCAATAAATATGAACAAGATCATACCTGTGATGCCATACACTGTGATACCCGTAACACACCAGTTATACATACATTACTATTTTTGAGGGTGATGACTTCGTTCCTAGTGATTTTACAGCTATATCTCACCCTTGAATCCGGAAAACCACCCTTCAAACCGGAAACCAACTTAAGAGGCAACTTACTTGGTAGAAATAGATGAAAAAGAGAAAGAGAGGGCAGACAGAAATTATGTGTGAGACAGAGTGAGACACTCTAACACTAAACTAAACTACACATAATTAATTAATAGGTATGTAGGTATTTTTAAACTAATAATAATACCCTTAGACAATTCACACAACGTCATCTAGTTCCAAGGTAAGCAGAGCTTGTGATATAAATGTTTAGATATACCTGTATATTTTTGTAAATACATACATAATACACATAGAACACCCAGACCTATACAAACAGTCATACTCATGAATATAAATGTTAATACGGTGCGAAGAATTGAACCCGCGACCATCGGAAGTAAAACGATATGCTGCTATGCCGCTAGACCACCGAGGCTGTCTAAAGTCAAACTCGAAATGATTTTTTATATACCTAATTCGAAAGACAAACAATGCCTATGCCCATTCGGTAGAACTAAGATGCCATGCTTCTTAACCTGTAATTTCACCATCTATCACTACAATAATACAGCTCACAAAGTACCTAAGCTATAAGCCAATGAAATAAGTAGATAGAGGTAACCATGCCAACTACTTTTTACAAACTCCTACCACGATATTGTGGTACAAATTCCACGAAGATGGTGGTGAGCCTACTGCTATCTCTCGGATTGTTATTTTTGATTTAATATCGATGTTTTCATCACAAAAGTCAGAAATGTAAATTGACAATTTTTTTTTGGTTTTTAAACTAGTTTTTTACTTGTGTGTAAGTCAGGGTAGAATACATTAAGCTACAACACTCTTTGACTAGACTGAGTGATCTTATGAAGGAAATTGGAGCGTCTGTTTGTAATATAGAAATAACCGTTTTTTACTACAAGCTTATAAATATACCTAAATACGGTACATAGATACACTAAAATAACATTTTTTACAATTTTTGTCTGTCTGTTTGTTCCGGCTAATCTCTGAAATGGCTTGACCGATTTTGACGGGACTTTTTTGGCAGGTAGCTGATGTAAAATGGAGTAACTTAGGCTACTTTTATTTTAGAAAAATAAAGTTAAATTCCACGCGGACGAAGTCGCGGGAACTGCTAGTATTAAAGTATAATTAAAGAAAGCAATATAAAATACTATAATCCCTACTTAATCGAGCATAATATTGTCATTGTTGAGTATACAAAAAGCTTCCTTCCGCGAAATTTCAACGTTTCTTGCGTAAAAATATCATGTTGCCGGTGTCGAATTCTCTCTACCTTGACGAGATCGGCTCTGACAGCCATCACACACAAACGTACACACAATTAACAATATAAATAGCTTAGTAACTGAAGCATTTAATTGTTTAACAAAGCAATAATCAGAGCATTCTAGCTTCAAAACATGTCATAAAGAAAAACTTGCATTTATTATTCTTAGTATTTCAATGAAACCTATTAGTACATTGTAGTACTGTCTTCTGATGTACATACCTACATTAGAATATTATGCCTATTTGATTTTAGTAGAGATGTTAAAAAAAGTAAAGTTTTTATAATGATGATATGTGTAATCAAATGTAATATAGATAAAGAATAAAGATCTAATTTTATTAAAATACAAGAAGTGATCGAGCAGCAGATAAATGGAGATGAAGATGGTAACATGGTATGATGAAATCTAAAATTTCATTTAATTTTTCTATATACCTGTATAATTTCATGTAATTTTTTTAAATAATTTTCTATGTTTAGTACATAGGTAGTATCGGGGATATAAAGAGCACATCATAATAATATACACATGGATAAAATTGTGGGCTAACTATATTTCTATCTCTAATACACTATCCGCTACTTCGTCTACTTTTTGTATAGGTATATTTACAAAAAACTCATATATTTATATCAGTTGTCTAGTACACACGAGCTGTGCTTAGTTTGGCACTAGATGGCACTGTGTGGATTGTCCTGAGATATTATTATTATCTATCTTTACCTCAAACATTAGGATCTGTACCGCTTTAGTGAAATGGTAAGAAATCGACAGAGACTAACAATAATATGGAAGTGTGACTTATAGGCGAACATTTAATATATTTTTTAAGGTTGTAAAAACTGAATAGAAGACGGTTGGGCCGTGGGCTGTACGTTTATGTTGCGGTGTGGAGGTATCGTGTTGCGCGTCAATCGTCAACAATCAATGCCAATTGACGGCCTAATACCCGAATAATACGATTTTTTTCCCCAAGACCCTAGATTTAAGATCAGGGATAATTTGCCCCAATGCTTGCATGTGGAAACAGTTTAAGGATAAATGCAGCCAATTGGTTGTTTATATTTATATACTAGTTATATCTACAGATATTGTCGTATCTTTCCTGATAATTTACAAAATTACCAGACAAAGCACTTCTGAACCTGTATCGTCGTCAGCAAAATTAAGACTACGGATAAGGTACGATGGGACTGGCATTACCATATTATGGTTAAAGTCCCTAAATAAATTTAAGATAAAAAAAATAAAAAAAAGTTGATATATCAATGATAGCGTAGAATCGTGAGGAGTTGAAAACACTCTGATGGTATGTTACGGTTTCGCATAAAAACTGGACGATTTAGAATTAATTTTAAATATGACTCATATAAAAGTTAAAGAAAGACCAGAAAAAGGGTTAATAATATAATTAATTTTTATGTATTTCCAATACCCCGTCTACTACTTTATCACTTGAAGAAATCTTCAAAAGACCATCCATATTCCGTGTACCAAAGTTGAAATGTAAAATGTTTATTATATTTTTCCAAATCCATCGATTAAATTGAATACCTATTTAATTAATAATAAAGTAGTTATCATTTATATAAGATCGATAGTTAAATGAGTAGTTGTGCACTAACCTGTATCCGATCCTCTGGCAAGTCTGTCTTAAGTGAGAGCATCTCCCTAGCGTACACATCAGGGTAGTGGGCATCCTTGAATGCCTTCTCCAATTCATCCAGTTGGTACGAGGTGAAGATCGTCCTGCTGCAAAGACCGAACGCGAGTTGGTAAACTATAATTATCACAGGGATCGGTTTATAGGTACCTACACAAGACAAATACTAAGTCTCATTTATATTAGTGAACATCTAACAACCTTCCTCTCCACCACTCATGGTTGCCTGGTACATAGCGCTGGCAGATAGTAGGTAATTCCGTCATATGTGTTTCTTAACTTTTATATTATGTGCTTAATGCGCAAGTTAAATTAATTAATTAATTAATAATAGAAGCTTTTCATAAGGCATTTCACAAATTTCTTATTTAAATAAAATGTCTTTACCTAGTACATACAGTGACTTGTCCTGGTTTGATAGGGGTGAAGTTACCATAGATTATTAGTTGCCGGACAGACAACTTTGATAACTATATGGTTACTTTTGTTTACAAGCTAACGTTACGTAATCTCAATAAATTCGCACAAAGAAAATAAAAATATTTTATAATCTCGTTTACATTAAATACATTTGCCTATATAACCTCATAATCATAGTGTTTTTTACCGACTTTCGTCGGTCTAAATCTCGTAAAAATTTAAGTATATCTACTATGAAGATGAATATCTCCTCGTGACAGTAAAAAAATAAGAAGATCTTGTCAGGTTCAGTATATTCCTTAGCTAAAATAATGTCATATAAGTTATAAAAAATTTTATCTTCTAAGTCTCTCTTTTTGCATGCATATTATTTCTTTACATCTTATATATAAAATTCTCGTGTCACAGTTTTCGTTCCCATACTCCTCCGAAACGGCTTGACCGATTCGCATGAAATTTTGTGAGCGTATTGAGTAGGTCTGAGAATCGGCCAACATCTATTTTTGTAAATGTTAGGGGTAGTCCACCCCTAAATTTTATTTTTATTTTAAGGCAAAACAACGTTTGCCGGGTCAGCTAGTTATATATATATGTATTCTTGTGTATGATCGGTTGACAGTTACCTGTGCCGGCGTTTTTTCTTCTTCTTTTTACCATTGTACCCTGTGAGGCCATCGACTGTGAAGTCTTTCGCTGCTTCTAGTGCCGGCACTCCTGCGAACAATTGACAGAAATATATATTCTATATTCTTCTAAATTATTCTTTATTATTAAAATCGATAAACAATTGGTGTTCCATGTGATATAAAATTATATAAGTATTTTATTTGTAACTACTGTATAGGTTCCTGTTTCATATATCTATGTATATTCTTTATTACAATTGGCTATTGCGTCGAATAATTTTCGATAATATAAGTACTATCTATCTATCTACGCCTATAAAAAACTGAATTATATATGACTCACTTTTTTTTTAAATCTTGTATCTTTTCATGTAGGTATACAAATTTCGCGGTATTTTTATAATATGATGTGTAAAAGAAAGAAAATGACTTATATAGTTATATATACTAAATAAGTAGGTACATTGATATGTTTACTGTAGACTAAAAAATAATTTATATACTATTTTCTTTTTACTTGAGCCAAACCAATAATAACTATATAAACTATAACAATGAATTATATATTTTTACCGTTAAGAAAATTATATAACCTTAGCTGCTTGTATAACTTCTACTTAACGTAATTTTGTATAACGTTTACTCAAACTCTATTAGATATAGAGTAAGATATTATATATTAGTTATACTGTAGAAATACCGAACAGTAAAAAATTCAAAACTTGCCTATTCTGAAGACAGCTAATATAATAACAGTGTTTGTGAATCGGCAAGCTGTTTCAAGTTTCATAAGTTAAATTACGTAGCTCACAATCCCAACCCGGGCTGCCTGCAGTCAAAATCCCGCATCAGATACCGCCCGTCCCCGAAATCCACTTAACGGCTAGTGTGACAACACAACACTTATTCGGGGATTTGTCACATAATTACCGAATGTGATTGCCAAATGAATTAGTAAACAGGCGAGCGGTGGCGGGTTAATAGAATAGATCGGGCGCGTCCCCGGGGACAGCAGGGACGCGGGACGGCGGCAAGCGGGGCGGGGGACGGGACGACATCCCTCAGGGAAGCCGGGTAATTGAATTTGGCGCCAATGAATACGACAATGAATTATTAAATTTAGAGCGGTTCCCTTATGGACCTCTAATCCGACTTAACGATGTAAACGGCGCTACCAAGTCCAATACACGGTTAATACTGGATTCGTAACATGTTCTCTATACTAAGCGCGCTATGAATGTAAAATAATGTGTTATTTCGTTTCGTATGTACATGTGTTGATGTGTAAGTGTGACGAATCACGATGTAAACTATTTTGTGAGAGGGTTGGATGTGTTATCAGTTTGTTGAGGTCAAAGGACATGATAATTACAATGTATTAATTAAATTGACTGCAACACAATACAGAGAATTAAAATTTGAATGGGTATTTTTCGACTTGATCCAGAAAATTAATATTTACAAGGCTTAAAAGTATTTCTACATCGATTCATCATTTACATAAAAGGATATATAGATATATAGCTATATCAGATTAAGTTATTTAGATTAAGTATTTAGTAATATTACCACATCTACTAAAACTACTTAGTTAATATTGTTACACACAACTTACAAATACAAGCATTATAACGTAAGATAGCAATTAAAATCAAATTGAAAACCTTATTTTTTTAATGTTTGTCCATATTAACATGTTTGTTTATGACATTTACACAGGGACAGACCAGTGTCCACACTGCAGTGTGACTGTGAGCCGTGACCAATCGGGACGGGCGGACTATCCGCTAATCGATTGGTCACACTAGTTATTTATGACGGTTGCAGTGACTGGTCGATACGCAGTGTACTTTTAATAAATATAATGTATAGTATAGGAAAAATTAACCATAGTAATATTATAAATGAGAAAGTCTGTCTGTTGGTACCCTTTTCATTGATATTTGACATGAAAATAGAAGTCTATACACTGAATCTAAATCTGACGTTTGTACGCTGAATCAAATTATACCCATTTCCATCCATATAATATATGCGAAAATATTTGTGTATATATGTTAATATTTATCGATTATAGATAATAGAATACAATTTAATATAAATATTTATTGTATTAAGAGAAACGACATGGAATACATTTTATCGCAAACAAAGCAGAGAACGACGTAGTAACAGCAACAGTAATTCATATAAACTATAAATTAAAAAATATACCGTGCGAAGCCGGAACGGGCCGCTAGTATTATATAAATGCCTACAGAGAGCCGGTGGAGGTGAAATGTGGCGAGGACACGGATGGGTGAGCATGTCCCATGGGAGGCATCATTCTGAGCGTCTGCACTTGCGTTGATTAGGTGATGCTGCTATTGTCTTTTGTCCAATTTCAAAAACAAAAATAAACTTTTTTTTTAATTGTACAGAACCGATTTTTTTTCAATTAATTAATCTTTGACTACCTCTTCTAGGGTAATAGTCGTATTGATATATTATTAAAAACATACCATAATGTTTCAATTGATCCTCATAAAGCTACGATCATTACTGGTGCAACTACCTCGACCAATAATATATGCGTTAACACGGATGTGAACTACACCAGAAAATGCACCTTCTGCATATGAAGATAGAGTTGAAATAGCGACGGTGGTATAATTTGAGGTATAATTTTAACATGAGCCTCCCTCCGAGGGAACGTAAGTGTCGGCGAAGGAAAGCTACTTGTGTTAAGTCGAACACTGCCACTTTTCATCGAAGTAGTCTTACCATCACGTATTATAATAATACATAATTAGTTACCTACGTAACATGTTCATCAATAGATACTGTTTATATCAACTTTATATCGACAAAATTGTAACAAATTCAAGATCTGTACACTACAAGTACAATAAGCATAATAGCACAAATTAACAAGGGCACCACGTTTTGTCTAAAATTAGGTATAAGTCGGCAAATATTCATCTAAAGTTGCAGGCAGTTTAGAGAAGCAGTAAGCATATAAAGTTGAAACAGATGGCAATGTGCCGTGAAATACACCCAAGAGAATAAAACACAAATATTATATATAAAGGAAAACTGAACATAAAACTACATACCAAACCGAATGGTGAACATGGCAGTTATAGAAACTAAATCCAAAAAAGTGTGTAAAATGCTACGGATCGGTCTACGGAAGCAACCTGCTTTGCAGTTAATTTATTCGTCTTTCCACAAAAATTTTCAGTCTATTCTGATCCCTCCAAAACGTTCAAATTTGTATACAAAGCTCTTTCGTTATAACAAAATGCAATATATCGAAATTCCGTCTTCAACAGATCTTTTGCGAACATGTAACGTAATATCGTGTTATTCCATCTCGTTCGTAGCTATGAAATGATCAGGTGGGGAAGAGAGATGAAAACAAAATTCGTAGTGCACAGAGAGGCAATTGGAACGAGTAGTACAGAGTAGCGTTAACATGCGACACGGCTACGGGCCAATTTACATGGCCTGGATTCAATTTACCGGCGCGACGATAAAAGATACACTTAATTCGACAGCAACGATATAAAAAGATAAGCAGGTTTTCTTAAATCCTCTTGAACTTATATTTCTAATCAAAAGTGCCAACGCTCAAAACATATTCAATGTAAGATTATTTTTATAAGTACCAAAACCTTGTCCTTATCTCTCTCCGTAAATGGAAAAGCCATTAGTATTTAGACTTTGGTACTTAGTTTTAAACAAATTAGCTTCCATTTGTTTTTATTTACCACAAAGAGGACATGGTTGTTTTAAATTAAAATATATTTTTTGCCTAATTACAATTATTTGCACTTTATCGGTTATTCGGCAGCTCAAATTTAATGTATAAAAGTATGCCCAAAATCTATAATAGTTTGTACTCAGTCAGTGTTCGAATATTTGAAGCTAGTTGTTTGTAGTTTCTTCTCAATTTCGAAAATTGTTGGTGCAAAAATAATTTTGATATTATCATATTAATTTCAGCGCGAAAGATTACATATTGTAAAATAAAATCCTAAATTATTGAACAACAAAAAAAAAAGAAAAATAATCGTCTTTCATGAACAGCCTTAGGCGAATGCAAATATCACGTGCGCTGAGTGGAAAGCAAATCTCGTGCAAATTGTGGCGGCGAACGCTAAACGAGAATTAAGAATTGAGCGCAAGAAATTGGCAATTTTCTCGCAACAAGCCAATTTGAGGAGCGTTGCCGCGCATTATTTGATTTGTCGCGGCACGACTACCCTCACAAGGCGCGCCCGCGCCGCCGTCCTTGCAAATTACCTGAATAAAACTGGCGGACTGCTACGATACATGAAACAAATAAAATTAATTGTTAAAATAAAACTTAAATAAAAATATAGGAAGAAAATTTAATACTGGTGCTGATACTTGGTTATGATAGGTTAGAAAAAAAACTTTTCTTGAGTAAGTAAACTCTACATTAGAAAAATATCCCTCTTGTTATTCACTAATAACATAACGCAATATTTTATAAATAAATTAAGAAGAAGAAATATAATAATAAAATAGATTCTCGATTTAGTGCGATTTTGGTACGTTAGGTACATAATTTAGAAAATGAGTAGAATTTGATTTTTTTATAATTACATTTTTATATAATGTTAAAAATAAAATATAATATAATAAAAGTATATATGTTTGAAAAAAAAAATGAATAAGTTTACAATTTATATCAAATAAGTCATGAGATATCTGATAACGAATTATTACGTCTCACTTCCTAATATTTAATTTATGACATATCTAACCTATTCGCAAAAATCTCTAACCTTCGGAGTTTGCACGAGTTTGATGAGGACATAATGGTCAGGACTTTAACACGTTTCTGACAAGACTCGCCGTGAAAGAGTACGAGTGTCTGCAATATCGCATTTCTTCGTGTTTGTTCCCACAGTGCGCAGGTGTTAACAAAAATGGAGCAATATGACTCACAAAACCACCACAAAGCACCTTTGTGGCCAGATATTATGATCTCGGGGCTTCTTTCTTTTCACGAACCGTTTTGGTCAGCGGTTTTTGTTTTTTTCACTGAGTAATTAGACGGGATTTAAAATAGAACTCGAGAGCTCTTTATTGAGATTCAGATAGTAAATTCAAAGGCGACAAAAATATAAAATACTGTGACTCGAAACCAGATTTCGCACGAGTTATTATAGAGATCCCATTTTTTTCAATTAAAATACAGTTACTTACTAGTTTAATTTCCAAATACGGATAAGATTTTTAAAATTATTACTTAATAAATCAATAAAAAAATTAAAACTTCCAAAATCGTACTGAACAATAAACTTATTAACTTTGTTGATGATACTGTATTTCTTGGTATCACATTAGACTCCACACTGCAATGGGGTGCTCATTCTTCTAAATTGGCAAATAGACTTAGTTCTGGCACTTATGCGGTAAGAAGAATTAGACAATTAACAGACATGGACGGATATGGACATTTTACAAAAGAGGGCCATCCATTTACTCCATTTACGGTATGGGTTCCAGGGAGTCTTTGCGTGAATGTTTTAAAGAATCAAATATCCTCACCGTTACATCTCAATACATCTACGAAAATATTATGCTTGCCAGACAAAAATTTACAATTTTAAAACAAGATTACACTAATAAAAGCATACGTAATGTCAACAAACTACTTTTACCTAAGTGCCATTTGACGAAAGTTTGTAATTCGTTTTATGGAAATTGCGTAAGGTTTTACAATAAACCCCCAGAGTCTGTACTCAATTTGCCAGAAAAAAAAGTCAGATGTGTTATAAAATATATTCTTTGTAAAAAAGCTTATTATAAAATTGAAGAATTTATAAATGTTTTTGTAGAAAATATCTAATTGAAATCATCTGATTGAAAAGAGATTAAGTGCGTAGCGGTTTCTATGTTGATTGTCCCATGCCTAATCCATGTTGTTAATTAAATATAAGTAAATCAATATTTATTTAAAAGAGCAACACACAAGTTTCTTGCTTATTCTTCTTGTGATGAATCTGCATTCCGAATAAGCGGTAGAATAAAAAAACTTGACTATTCAAAAGTGCTTATATTAAGTTTATTTGAATAAAGATTATTTCTATTTCTATAAAATAGAAATGTCTAAGTTGGTAAATATTCTGTTATTCTATAGTAGTATAATGCTGCAATTTATAAATATACCTGTAAACTTGTCATACACGCCTGCAAAAATCTTTATCACGATGTATTTTCACCGTTACCAAGGTATATAAACAACGACACAGCCTCGACGTTTTAATTAAAATTTTGTTTTTCACATTTTTCCATTACATTATCATGAAAAATAAATAGAAATCATTGCCTTTCATAATTACAGGTATTGTTTTGTTATCGATCTTAGCGTACAGACAAACATTGTAACGAATAACCAATTGCACAGTTTCAGGAACAATAGACCATAATTGTTGTGTGTTTGTGATACGCTACTTCGTATGAGATAGGATAACGACGTATTTACGCAATAAACATGTACAAAACTTAATTACTGGTATTGTTCTTGGTGATTACTTGTTGGTGGGACGCAGGGTGCAGGGGGGAAGGCCAACTGGGGCCTACTTACGTCATACTCGGGTAATGTTTGCATAATTATACCTCTACTAGCTGTACCCGCGACTTCGTCCGCGTAAAATAGTGACCTTGAGCAAATAATAAAAAATATATATTAATAATCTAACCCAATAAAAAAGTTTCATCGTTCTAGCTTCAAAAATGAAATTTCCATACATAATTCCATACAATTCAATCAACAGCCAAAAACTAAGTTTCAAACTACTATCTTTAAAATGAAGATACTTCCATACATACCATACATACATTACATCTCCCCTTTCAACCCCTTATAACCCTTTTTCTTGTTTTTTTTAATGCTACTTATATTAGTGTCATCATGTACTAATGAAAAGATGTCGCTATACTGTAACCATTTATGGCTGAGTCCTGTAGCGGTAGGTACTGATATTTTCTCAACAGCCTAAAAAATGGGTTTCAAGTTTCTAGCTTTAAAAAATGACAATACATGCATACAACATTTTAACTCCCCTTTTGACCCTTACAACCCATTTTCGTTAATTATATTTAATCAATACGCAAAAAAATAAGATTGAAGCTTAAACTTTTAAAAAATTCCTCTTTCAGTCTCTTATAACCCTTTTTAGCATTAAAAAGTAACCTATGTCCTATCTCAAGATCTAGACTTTAAATTTCATTTAAATCAGTTCAGAAGTTTTGGCTTTTAAGACAGACAGACAGAGTCACTTTCACTTTCATAATATTAGTAAGGTATTTATTAAATAAACTGACCCAAAAAAGCGTAAGAAAAAAAGCTTCATCGTTCTAGCTTCAAATATGACGAATTTCCATAAAAACTTTTATCTGCTATTTTATTTTACCCCTTGAATGGTGACAATGTGATATTTACAAATTTAAATGTCATATTTATTTATATGTAATAAACAGTTTAAACATTTCTTTAAATGCTTTTGAAAATTGGTAGTCCAGTTGGCCAATAACATAATAAAATTTTGTTAAATCAAAATAATAGATGTGATATTCTAAATTGCAAACTATCCCTCTACTTGCGCGAACCATATCTCTGACTCTACTGGCCAGAATGGAGAAACGCGTATTACGAACCTGAATAGCTCGGATGGAACGGTAGATGTTGTTTCTTCCAAGGAAATGTTGTTCATATGTATTGACAACATTTTTAATATTATATGTTGTTTTATTCTTCAAAAATATTAATAATATGTTCTTACGCTCTTGTCCAAGAGCAGGGTCATCAGTTATAGGCTATACCAGGATTATATTTATGTATTTATAAAATAAATTTACAGAGCAAACGTTTATTCATTTAAATTCATAAGGAGACAACGGATTGACAATAATCAGTTGCGCGCGCTGCTTATACAAATGACATATATGTTTATTTATGACATATGAGCGTTAATAAGTCGCATATCTAGTACAATACTGGTGTAATTCAGAAATTAAAAATTTTTGAAAATAGACTTAATAACACAATTATAAAGTAGACTTTCCAAAATATCTAATTTTTTAGTTAAGCCTTTATTATAATAAGTGTGTATTCAACCGCATAAAGATAACCTTGCATTACCATTTTCTACCCCTTACAACCCTTTTTTCGCATTAAAAAGTAGCCTATGTCCTTCCTCGGCGTCTAGACTATATGGGTACCAAATTTCATTTAAATCTGTTCAGTAGTTTTGGCGTGAAAGCGAGACAGACAGACAGACAGACAGACAGACAGACAGAGTTACTTTCGCATTTATAATATTAGTAAGGATAAAGAGCTAGTTGGTTTTAATAATCGCTCTTGTTGCTTGTTAATTGTAACACGATAATGAAACGGTATTATTAGTTTAAATTATGAATGAATGTTGGTATTTTTGAATAGGTAGAGATTGTATTAAATTTGTAGAAATTTATTCTTTTTTTTTTCTGACCGACTGACTTTTTGAAAGATAACATTTCTATGAGGGTCAATGCTACATTATTATTATATATGGTTATATTCAAAATTTCTTTAGGTATATAACAATAATTTAGGTGCAGAATTCTAAGGAATAATCACAATATTACTTCTTACATACATTTTATACAACTTTACATATGCGATATTATAAATAGAAATTACCTTTACTAATATTATAAACAGGAAATTTAGAGTTTTGTATGTTCATTTATTTATAGGTACCTAATTGATAAACGCAAAATAGTCGACTGATTTAAAAATATCTTTGACCTATAAAAAGCTGAGTAACTTGATATATGCGAAATTTTTTATAGTTTACTTGATGATAACGTTATCAGCGATTACAGGTTATATTCCACGCGGACAGTGTCACGTAATATAGTTAGTTTTCATATTAATTTAAAGCGGTGATCTAAATTATAATACTACTTACGTAATGAGATGATGAAAGCTCGCCCCTCATAAGTCCCCGATACAAACATACTATATTTAGTCGACTAAACAGCGTGACGTGTTAAGTCGAGTCGACACGGATAGAAGGGATGTCGGGTACGAACGGCTCGGTACGAATTCGCCACCTCTGGGACGTAGGAAAATGATTTTTGGGGCGAAAATACCCTCGAGGCTCGTTACTCGCTTTTCGCCATTTTTTGAAAACGATATTGTTGTCGCCCTAAACTAGGGGAGTGTAATGATGTAAGGATATACTTAAGCCTGCGTTACACAGTCCAATTTACTAGCTAAATGTAGTTTTAATTATATTGATGAT